AGGAAATGATCTTTTTGTTAAGCTTCCACTAATCATCAATGAAATGTGCAGTAATGCACATATAATTTATCCTTTGGACAGAGGTCCATGTATCAGTGGTCAAGCTGACCCTTTGGGTGCTCACCCTAAACAACTTTTTTAGGCTTATTCTCTCATCTAGGTAAATCTAGTAAATGTCTCTAGAAATGGTCTACCTAGAAGGGATTTGAAACCTAAGGACAAGCAACTAAAATGAATTTCCTAAAGCCATTCCCCTCAACAATCCTAAAGGGAAGTTCATCAACAATGATCATCTCACACAATGCCCTCCTAATAGCCTCTTGGTTGAAAACCCAAGTCCCCAAAACCCCCTCAGAAGCTTCTGTTCCAGAGGCATTAAAGGTGAGAAGAGACTGCCTTGTGTCCTTACAATGATGATTTTTTAGGCAGGCCTTCATATGATTTTTCAATGAGGAAGTGCCATGCTTTTTACTTTCACATTTATAAATTTTTGCACAATAAAGGCATTTGCCCTCAACTACTGGTCCCTCAGTTTCACCTTCAGCAGGTGGAGCACGGATCTTTTCAAAATGATCCCATACTATAGATCTAGACTCCACCTCTTTCCTCTTCTTTGTAGGAACAACAAGAGGAGAAGGCATAGGATTTGTCTGAGGATTTCTCTCAGTACCTTGAGCTTCTACTCCATGCTCCTCATCAGTTGAGGTTGGAGGGTGTCCAGATGCACTGATGCTTTCCATCTATAAAGATGGGCATCAGTATCCACATAAAGCAGACAACCAAACACATCTTAGGGAGATTACAAATCATACAATCATATTAAAGCTTCCACCATACAATCATACATAGAAGTATTACATATTACTTTCAGTTAATTTCACATGTCATCATGTATGCAGAATTGCACATACACAATTTAAGGGTCACATATCCATAAACTTAATACAATTTACAATTTACAAAGAAATCCATATTCAGGCATTCAAGCTAAGTGGATGTATGCCACTTCATAATGCTCATCATCTATATGGATTTCACACAAAGGGGCTAGGGCTTCCACCAGATTAGGGACAATTACCCCTTTAAGCCTTTAACTCAGTTAGTCAGTTACACACTTACAGATTAAGCTTCCACCAACATATTACAATTTAGTGACAAGTGAGTAAGTAATCTGGAACTTCTCAACAGATCACAACATCACAGTCCATACAAATCACAAAATCACAATCAGAAAAACCCTAATCAGACTATCAAACTAACAATCATAAATTAGAGACAAGTGAGTAAGTAATCTGGAACTTCTCAACAGATCACAACATCACAGTCCATACAAATCACAATCAGAAAAACCCTAATCAAACTATCAAACTAACAATCATAAATTAGAGACAAGTGAGTAAGTAATCTGGAACTTCTCAACAGATCACAACATCACAGTCCATACAAATCACAAAATCACAATCAGAAAAACCCTAATCAAACTATCAAACTAACAATCTTAAATTAGAGACAAGTGAGTAAGTAATCTGGAACTTCTCAACAGATCATAACATCACAGTCCATACAAATCACAAAATCACAATCAGAAAAACCCTAATCAAACTATCAAACTAACAATCTAAAAAACTAGGGTTTAGAGAATAGAGATTACTTCGTTTCTCTAAATTAAACCCCCGAGAACAAAGGGCTTCGATTCCTAGCCAGCGAACTGCAATCCACCGGAGTATCGCTCCCACCGGAGACTCGCTTGGGGCTTGAGGGCTACCGGAAACGAATGGGGCTTGAGAGCTTCCACCGGAGAATAATAGCTTCCACACTACAGACACTCACACTCTCAAAGTCTCAGAGAGACTGTCTGAGAGAAGCTGAGATTATGAGAACTGAGAGTTCTCTGGAAGAAGGGAACAAGAGTCTGTGAGAGAACTAGGGTAGAGAGAAGAGAGAAGTCAGAGAGTTCTCTGGAAGAAGGGAAGAGGCGAAGACTGAAGAGCTGCGCAAATGAGACTAGGGTTTGCGAGTTCTCCGCTACTTCTTCTATATATACTTAGGCTACACGACGTCGCATTATACGTAGGCTTAGTCTTATTCGGGTGATCGGACGGGTTCGGGTGGAAAATATACCCCCCTCCCCGACCTAATTAAACCGGCGTCGTTTTCCTCCTCGGTTCGGTTTTGCCTGATCGGGTTCGGTTCCCGATCCATTCTTGTGTGTCGGGTTCGGGTCGGTCAGGTTGGTCGGGTTATGCACAGGCCTAGTTGAGTATAGCTGTGTGCGAAATACTCGTAGTTGAGTGTAGCTGTGTGCGACACACTCGGAGTTGGGTGTAGCTATGTGCAAGACATCCGGAAAAAGTGCTTGTGTAGCGCTTATTCACTATTGTAACTGTGTGTGGAAAATAGTGAATTACTCCTAGAAGTGAATGGAGTAAAGTGGACTAGGAAGATTACGCCACTTCCAAACCACTATAAATTGCTTCTCTCATTTACATACCGCACTTACATAATTTGCTCTATCTATCTGTCTTATCCGACTAACCTGTTTACTATTCACAGTCAATCTTAATCATTCGGGTTTAGTGTGTTTTTACGTATGCATGTGACTCAAACTTCTCGAGCTTAAATATTGAATTATTCTAAGCAAGTTTGACGTGTTGCAAGTAACGTTCGTTACATAGTCGACGTGACACGTCATTTATTTACAATCTTGAATATTATTGTTAAATATTGAGTGAACCATCTCCTTTATTTATTCAAGATATCTCTGTCACTTTACATATCATCTGTACCCATCTTACATGCACATTTAAATTATTGGTTGGGCATAGCTCTTTACATACTATTATTCCGCTGTGCAGTTCAACCTTACTCTATTTACTTGTTATTTAGAGTTGAAGTTACCAAAGAGTTATTTATTTTGAAAAAGCTTGAAAGTCTATTCACCCCCCCCCCCCTCTAGACTTTCACCACCCTATCGGGACCAACATCATGGCATACAAATCCTCATAAGTAGGTCCTTGAGGCCCACTCATATAACCATGTGGTGCTCTCGGCTGAGTAGCCGTAACCGGTGCTCCCTCATGACTCATGCCAACTCCCAAGTCAGTTTCCATTGCAACCCCTTCTCCACTAGCCTCAGTTATATGTCCAGATTCTATTCCAGCATTCGACCACTTTCTTTGTGGTACATTCAAACTAACCACCAAAGCAATTCTCTCATCCAAGGGTTTCTTAACAATGCCAGCTAGGGTCAGATACTTGTTTTCAGCAACCTGATATAGCTCATAATATCTCAGATTGACGGTATTCAAAGCCGACCTAGTGGTTCTTTGGATTCTTTCTCCCAACTCAGGTAAATTCATCTTTTTGAAAATCCAACTTAACATCATGCCATAGGGTAGATTCTTTCTATTCTTTGCCTTAAAATAAGCCATGTGCTTAAGGATCAAAACTGGAAAATTAACCGCACAACCGAATCTCAACATAAAGGTAATGGTACACGTCCAACTACCAATCTCCATAGAGTTGTTCCTACACGGAAACAAGCACTCTTCTATCAACAAAACTAACAATTTCTTCTCCCCAGTCAAAGCAGGTCTCTCGGGGCGATATTCCTTAGGGAACTCTTCCCTACTCCCGGTCATGTATCTCAAATACTCTTGATGTGTCAACCCCGCGTGGTTAACCCAATCCTCCTAGTCATACATATCCAATCCATCCAACGGTAGGTCAAACCAATTTGACAATTTTTGTGGTGTCAATTCTACTTTCGTGTCTCTCACATTAGAGACAATCGAAGTCACTCTATTCTTATGTTTTGTGGACAAATTCTCATAAAATTCAATCACTAAATCGGGATAAATTTCTTCTTGTATTCTCAAAAATTTCCTCAACAAACCTCGATTCTCCAATATACTCTTAAAATCTTCAGAAAAGAATTCAAGGAAAAAGGTTTTACCTCCTATTACTGAGTAGGTAGGTGCTTCCTGACTGGTTCCTTCCACTTGTTGTTTTCCCTTCACCATCGTGGTCCAACCTTGTTGTCTTGATCTTGTGAAAATTGTAGTGGATAACCCAACTAGTATTTTTCTTGTACTTAGAATGACTTGGAGAAGACACTCTTGAAGTTTCCTTGATGGAAGATGTTGATTTTGAGGAAATAGGTTTTTGGTTGAGGTTGAGGCAGTGTGCATCGAAGAAGAGAAGAAGAAGATGATGTGAAATTGGTCTCTACTTTGGAAAAAAAACCTTAAGGGTTTAGGGTGGTGGGGCTTGGCGGCGGCCCTCCAATGGCCCGCGCCAAGGTCCGTTGTCAGCGTAGCTGACACGGCCCCCAGGTCACGGACCATTACGTGGTCCGTGACCACGTTCCGTCACATGGAACAGGTCCCGTTCCGGCCCGTGGCCTAGACCCGCCACTGGGTCGGGTAACCGGGTCAGATCCGATTCAAACCCAAATTGAAATCGGTCCTTTGTCAAAACTTCAAATCGGGTCAAAATTGAACATAGTCCTTAACTTTAATAAATCTCGATTTCGTTCTCAATCCTTTGACTTTCAAATTCCTCCCGGGAATTGCTTAAGCTAAATTCTTATTCCACTTCTTTACTCGTCATTTCCTTCTTTTCTCGTTTTCACTTCTATTTCGATAAACATCTCTCTTATTTAAATCTCAATCGTTCCCTAACGATTTTTCATTCTTACTCATATCTACTTTCATTCTTCTAATTCTCGTGTTCAATAATTCGTAGCATTCAAATCTAAGCTTTTCTCTAAAACAAATTCATTTAACTTCTAAAATCCCAAAACTCTTAGATTAGCCCATCTTTTAACACCTTGCAACAACTTGTAACAATTTTTCAAGCATGCACATCTAATTAAGCATCCAAGCAAAATCAACACACTCATTCCAAGTTAGAGTGTTACCTTTCTCGAGATTGCAATCTCCGGCCTGAGTCTGTCTCATGACCATGATCCTCCCTGGTCCAGCTCCTCCGGTACGTCCTTAATGCGCTCCACCTCGTCCATGATTTCCAATCCTGTGTGGACCTCCTCTCGGTGGGTAGCCACATCCCATAGCTTGATTCAGCGCCTGGTTGCTTGGACCTCTGGGTGGCTGGCTCGGGATCGTACCATGGGATCCCTCCGTCCTCGGGGAACGACAAATAGCGGCTTTATGACCCGACTTCCCACACCGGAAGCAAACTACAACAGGCAATCCTCCACAAGTGGTCTTAGGATGATCCTTGCCACATCTCGGGCATACCGAAGCCCCCTCTCTCGGTGGTCCTCCAGCTCCAGCTCCATGTCTCATAGTCATGTTCCTCCTTTCCCCATCTCTATGGCCAAGCCTGCTCGTCGGATTGAACCTGTGTCCCTTGTTCGACTGTGCTTCCATCCCTTCATTCTTTTTCTTCATCCCTTGCATGGCATCGCGGTGCAACTGTTGAATCCTGGAGTAACCAGCAGCAGCCTCATAAGCTTCATTCAATGTAGCAAATCTCGCCGCGGAGAAGGATTTCTGAGCATCGTAGTGCAGTCCTCGGATGAACTTGCGAGCCCTACTCGCCTCGTCAGGTACCAAGGTAGGAGCAAATCGAGACAGTGCCACAAAGCGGGCATGATACTCCTGAACGGTCAAACTTCCTTGCTCGAGATGCAAGAATTCCTCATACTTGGCAGCCTTGACATGCTCTAGGTAGAATCTCTCTCTCAACACCATCTTGAACATCCCCCAGTCAAACCCTTCTCTTGCCTGAACAGCCGGTCCTTCCATGACCCACCAGTGGTCAGCCTCTCCTTGTAGATAGTATACAGCAGCCTCTACTCGCTGATCCTCTGGGCATCCTACCACGTCAAACAACTTGTCAAACGTGTGGACCCAACTCTCAAGAACTTCCAGGTCCTCCTGACCCAAGAAACACGATGGACTGTGCCCCATGATCTTTCTGGACACATCACCGCCACCGTTATTCCCACTGAGTATGGCAGCTCCTATGGTCTGGGTCAATTGGGTGAGCTGGCACAGACTCTCAGTTAAATCTGTAGATGATGACGCTCCAGGTCCTGAGGAGCGAGGAGATTCCTCTCCGACTCTTCGCGGCGGCATCGCGAAACCCTTTGAACATGACTAGAACAGATCATTCTTGTTAGCACGACTAATAAGTTAGATGATTCTAACTTCTCTAATCTTGAGACAAACTTGTAACAAGCAAATCACACAAAGCAACAAAGGCATCTCTCCTCATCTACTTTAACAACTTAACAAGAATAACTTCTCTTCTAAGCTTTAACTTTCAAACTCTTGGTTTTTCTCTCTTTCAACTTCTCTCTTTACTTCTTTACTTTACTCGAAACAGATTGAAGGTATAACAAGCACATTGGCAAATCATATAAACAAGAAACAGGTACAAACTCTTATACTTTTACATTAGCACTTTTACAAAACTTCCACTTTCAAACTTTAACTTTCAAAATCTCAACTTCTAACTTTCACTTCAACCTCTCACTGAAAACTTCTCTACTTTACTTTCAAAAGATAGATAAAAGCACTTTAAACACATTGGTAAAGCACAAAAACATATAAGTAAACACAAAGGAACTCACGATCTCACCGCGTTCCTAACCGACACTTAGAGTTTCTCTTAACTCTGATTCTCATACTCAATCACTAAACTTAGAGTCTTTCTTATCTCAATTTTCATAACTTAGGGCTCTTTCCCTATTCTTATCCCTCTTAGGATTTCCACTTAATATTCTCTTCTTATCTTGTCTTTCTTAAGACTTCAACTTAAAGGTCTTTCCTTAACTTGTCCTTCCTAGGACTTTCACTTAGAGTTTCTATACTCAATCTTAAGGGTCAAACTTCCTAAGTCTCCTGTGGTTCGTACCGCTCTGATACCAATTTGTAACACCCCACTTTTCTAACTCTTAATTACAACTCTAAACGGTCATTAACATGAACTAAGAAGCGGAAATAAAATAACTAAAAAGATAATTAGTGGGAGTGTCACCGCCACAACCACCACTCCGTGGTGATTGCACAGGCTAAAGGGGTAAAACTAGAAATAAGTTAAAAATCTGGCATCCAAATAAAATACTGGAAACATAAGGAGGAAAAACGTCACCTCAATAGTCTACAGCATCCTCAAAACCATAATATCAAAATAAGTCTAAAATCCATAACATGATCCTCAATAAAACTAGAGTTTAGACATCTCAAACTAAGAGACTAACCTAACTCGATCTCTTCTCATTGCTAGGCCCACCTGAAAGGGGTTTTGCAAGCAACACATAGACAAATAGGAAAACACCCGTTAGCACGAAGCTAAGTATAACCACACTCAACCCTGCAAAGCATTCTAGCATATACTTTGAAAACATTTGATTTCTTTATAAACAATAAACTCATCTGAACCATCTTTAGATCTAACACATACTTTCTAGGTGCTTGCACCCTATTAAATCAGCTGGCATGCTCATATATATATAAGACTGTTTACTTAAATTCATTGATGTTAGCACATCTGTTCTTGTTTTTATGGTTATTTTGAATCATCACAGTAATTAAGCTCTTTCATTTTGCTTATTTAATACATGTTTTCCTTGCTATTATCATTTTATTATGGTTCGCACTTGTTTTGAATGTTTTACGGTGTTTGTTAGTGTTTTTGAACCATTGTAGGTCAATTCTATGAGCAAGGGAAGTTCAAGGATGAGTTTGGAGCAATTTTGGACAAGTTCGGGACCCAGAGGACTCGATGCGTCGAGCGCAGCACGAAGTCGCGAGATATTTGAGTCCAATTTTGTACCAGATTCCTATTTCGTCTCAACTTTATACCTACTATAAAATCCCTCCTTCCTCAACCCTAAAAAAAGAGACGAGGAGATTTTTAGAGTTCTTTGTAGACAAGAAAGAGAGAAATCAAGAGGCTCAAGTCGTCTTTGGAAGCAAGGAGGAAGCCAAAGAGATTTGGGAGAATCGCTTGGTTAATTCTTGTACTCTTCTGATGATTTGTAATCTTTTATTCATATTTGCTATGTTTAATTTAGCCATGCTCGGCTAAATTCTTTAAGGATTTTTGGGTGAATTTGTTTATAAACCTATGTGCCTAGTTCGTTAATTTCTAAATATATTTATGTTTGGTTTTATGATTTGTGTTGCAATCTTGTTTTAATCTGTTGTTGTTGGTAGTTAAAGGCCTAAATTACTAGCTTCACAGTCATGTTTGTGTCACCAATGGGAGTTGGGGCATAAATTAGGGCACACACGATTGCACCTAATGGTTGGTCCTTGGGAAAGGGGAACTTATTAGGGGAAGTTTATTTTAGATTATTGCTCATCGGGAGATGGTAGTAATTAGGAATAATTGAATGCTGATCTTTGATCTTATTGGGTGTTTAAGCTATGGGAGTGGAAATTCACTAGGAATAGAGATTACGGGAGTAATTCGATTCCACTTTGCATTCCCATACAAATCTTAATTCCAAACCAAATATTACAAACGTTAATTGGCACTAGGTGATTAAACATTGTGACCCCAAGAATCCTATTTTGCTCTATTGTCTACAAAACCTTGCTACTTATTTTATTCTGCTTGTTATTTTATGCAATCAATCAACCTTCAAGTTTTGTTCGGACTAGTTTCATATGAGTAACCTAGTAGCTAGTGATTAGTACCCCACCTCTCTGTGGTTCGACAAACCGAATACTCCGGGTATTATTTGTTTGCCCCAAATTACAGCAATCAAATTGGCGCCGTTGCCGGGGACGGTGGCATTACGTACTGACATTAGTGAAAGTCTTACTTTAGGAGTCTAGTTCATTTTTTATTTATTTATTTATTTATTTTATTTATTTGCTAATCCATAACAAGTTCCTTGTTCTTGAGTGTGATTTTGCTTTGAATCTAAGGACTTGGCTTTTTATGCATACACGATCTCGTGGGAAAGAAGGATTATTACCTTTGAATCTTGAGATTGAGAAAAGAGCCAAGTTTCTTAGGAAACAAACTAGGATGGCACAGGTACAAGAAAACCAAGCCGGAGGGAGATCAATGTCTGACTACCTTGCTCCGGATGTTGAGGAGCATGGTAGCATCAATATTCCAAATGTGGAGGCCAATAACTTTGCGATCAATCCGGCCATACTTAGCATGGCTGCGGCAGATCGATTTGGTGGGATGCCCACGGAAGATCCCAATGCTCACGCCACCAAGTTCCTACGACTTTGTGGCACTTTCAAGATAAATGGAGTCACTCAAGATGCTGTCAGACTTAGGCTTTTTCCCTTTACACTGAACAGGGCTGAAGATTGGTTATCCTCACATCCAGATAACCATTTTGACACTTGGGACAAATTACATGGAGAATTTTTGAAGAAGTTCTATCCTATCTCCAAAACTCAAAGGATGAGAAGGGCAATTCAAAACTTTAAGCAACTGGCAACTGAGTCCCTCACTGAGTCTTGGGAGAGATTTAAGGAATTGAAGAGGCAATGTCCACACCATGGATTTCAGAGTTGGGATTTGATGATGTCTTTCTATGAAGGATTGCTGGATAATTCTAGGATTTTGGTGGATGCTTCTTCGGGTGGTTCGTTCACGATTCTAGAGCCAACACAAGCCGAGGAACTATTGGAGAAAATTGCTATGAATGGATCTACTTGGTACACGGAGAGGTCTCCACAAAAGCTTGTAGGAGGAATTCAAGATGCGGGGCAGTTAGCCGATTTGTCAACAAAGTTGGATAATGTGGTCTCCTTGGTTCAAAAACTTGCCCAAATCACCAGCCAAAATCACAATTCAGGGGATTGTATCGACGAGTTCAATTCCCAAACCTCTATGGAGCAAGTTAATATGTTGGGATATAATAGGCCTCATCAATAGTCTTACCAACCTCAAGGGACCTACCATCCTAATAATTCAAGGAACCATCCCGGCTTTTCATGGAGCAACCCAGTGGGAGCTGCCAACCCTCAACACTTTGTTAATAGAGGTCCTCTGGGTTATCAAGGTACTCAAGTTCAATCTAAATTTCCCATTTCAGAGGCCCCACCACAATCGAATACGGAAGTTTTGTTGGAAAAATTGATTAAAGGTCAGTTAGAGATTACAGAAAGGATGGATAAAATGGAAGCTCGCCAAAATATGGTTGAAAGGCAATTAGCAAATCAACCTTCTATATCAAGTACTAAAGTCACAGGGAAGTTGCCAGCTATGCCTGAAAATCCAAGGGAGCATGTAAATGCAATTGTTACAAGGAGTGGCAAAGTACTTGAAGAGCAACCTCTTCCAATCAAAGCATCAATTCCTAAAAAGATAGTTGAGGAGAAGATTGAAGAGATACTTGATGGTATAGAAGATGAGCCAGTTGTTGTGCAAAATAATCCACAAGTTCAAAAGGAAGTAGAGAAACCTGTGAGAAGGTATGTACCCCCATTGCCTTTTCCTCAAAATCGTGAAACAACAAAAGAAAGTAGGTGGAAAAAGTTTTTGGAGATTGTTGAGAGTTTGAAAGTTTCAGTTCCCTTACTTGATTTGCTTTCACAAGTTCCCTCTTATGGAAAATTTTTGAAAGAGATTCTAGCTAAGAAAAAGAAATATGGGGAACGAGAGATGGTAGCTGTGGCACAAGAGTATCAAGCGTTGACCCCGGGAATTGGGAGGAATATACCTAAGCATAGAGATCCGGGGAAGTTCACAATTCCTTGTGTGATTGGAGGCCGACCTTTAAAGGGATCCCTTTGTGATTTAGGAGCTAGTGTGAGTGTTATGCCTCTTACTCTTTGTCAAGGGTTAGGGTTGGGAGAACCAAAACCAATCCAATTCACCTTAGAAATGGCGGATAGATCCATCGTAAAGCCTATTGGAATTCTTGAAGATGTCCCAGTTCGTGTGGACAAGTATTTTGTGCCTTGTGATTTTATTGTGATAGATGTCCGAAGGAACCTAGACGTTCCACTCATTTTGGGGAGACCCTTCCTAGCCACTATTGGAGCAATGATTGATGCAAGGAAAGGGTCCATGATTTTTGACTTTGGGGAGGAAAAAGTGGAATTTAATGTTCTTGATGAGCCAAAAATCATTGAATGCAAGTCAATTTTGCACA